TATATATTAATACATATTATTAAATAAAAAATTTAAATGTTTCTTGTTTATATTATAAACTTCTTATTGAATGCAAAATGAAAAATGTCTTTTATATAGTTTATATAATTTAGACTTAATTTGAACAAGTATCCAATTTACAAAGTTTGGATAAAAGTCTAGATTTCTCTTAATAAATTTAGCTGAAAATATATATTATAGAGTCTAATTACTTGTAAATTAGATCGAAACACTTTAATTACATACCTAAAGTATAATTCTTATAACAACTTTTGAAAAAATCTTTTGTGAATTTGTATTTGATTCTCCATTTATTTTCTATTTAGATTATTTCCTGATAATTAAGACACAATTGGAAGTATTGTAATAGTGATTTAATGTTAAACCCAATGATCATCTATTAAGAATTATACTTTACAAATTAATTACTTCTGTTTTTAAAACATTCGGGTAAAATTCACTCATTCAATTAATTTTCTTTGTATTTAGCATTATAAATTGAATGATATCTTTAAAGAATGCTTAAATCTATTATTTTGAATATTTTTCTTATAATATTATATAATTTTAGTTAGTTAAAGTCTATTTTATAAATCTTATTACTGAATTTCTAAAAATTAAACTTAATATACATTTATATTTGACCAATTTTAATAAGTTCAATTTACTTTAGATTATTGAAATTTAATTATTATCATAATAGAAAGGCTGAATAATATAATTATATATTTATATATAATATATGTCTAAAAATAAAAATAATAAGAATTATTATTAAATTAAATTTTGATTTTACTACTTTAGAAAATCTTTCTAATCCCCCCCCATTCATGAGAAAGAGGGGACTAATTAAGATTATAAAGAATAATTCACATTCAAGAATTATAATTCAATCTTTGTCACTTTATATATTCACATGTGGACAGGTCGACATTGAATTGTGTTTTAGAAACCATCTCACTTGCTATAATGAAAAGGCTTTATAAAAAGAAAGATTGTGGATAGTTAGGAAAATCAAAAGTTGATCTCAATCTATCACCTTATTAAATTCCATGATATGTGCATTCTAATTCAAAAAATGATTTATTCCTCTTTAGAAAAAAATGATTTTCCAATTAAATTGTAAAATTTCAGTATTAGAAATCAATCATTTTTTATTCAAGTCTAAAATGGAATAGAGTCTTTGAAATAAGCAACATTTAAAGATGGAAAATTATTTGAAAAAGAATACACTTATTATATATTATGATTTAATTTATATCAAGTGTTTAAGTTTATATAATTTAGTCCTATTTTCAAATATAAATGGGAAGGGTTTCATTCTTGACTTAACTATCAAATTAAGTTCTTTACATTATAACCAAGCCCGGAGAAGAGCATTATGATCCTATATAATTTCCCAATTACCATTTTGAATGATTTATAACAATGAATCATTGAAAATATTTTAAGATATTCATCTAAACAAAATGTTTAAGCTCTGTATGAATCTATTTCTACTTGAATTAAGTATATATGAAAAAATTTGAATCAAATAGCATCTTTTTCAATTATAATAAGAATATTAAATAAATTAATAAAAAGAAAATGGAAATGGACAAAGAACCATATGATTATATTTTTAAAATAATTATTATTGGAAATGGAAGTTGTGGGAAAACTAGCATATTATATAATTATTTAAATGGGAAATGTAAAGAGATGTTATGAAAGAAATTAGAACCGAAGAATGTTGCTTAGACAGTAGGAGTGGAATTTTCATCAAAGATGATTTCAATAAAAGGAAAATCGATAAAATTGCAGTTATGGGATACTGCAGGTCAAGAACGATATAGATCAATTGCAAGAACGTATTACAGAGGAGCTTTAGGTGCAATTTGCGTTTTTGATTTGACAAACGTGGAATCCTTTTAAAATATGCAGTAATGGATTAAAGATGCTAGAGATTTTGCAAGACCTGATATATGTATTATAGCATGTGGGAATAAGATAGATTTAATCGTATGTAATTTATATTAAAAAAGGAATAAAGAAGAATTACAGAGAGCTAGGTTTAAAAATTAGTAAAAGAGTATTCAATTGATTCTTATTTTGAAACAAGTGCAGTAACAGGTGAATAAATAGAGAATATGTTTTTGACATTATCAGGAAAATTAGTTTAAAGGATAGATAATGGATTAATAGAGAAAAACGATTTAAAACCAATTCTATTGGCTACACATTCCTCTAAGGAAGAAGCGAAAGAATAAACTTGTTCTTGTTGACTTAG